CCCGCCGGCTGCTCCCTGCGAGGCTGCGAGGCTTCCCTTCCACGTGGCCCAGGTGGCCGCAGGTTCCAGCTGAGCCCAGAGGCACGGAGCCGACCAGCCAGGGGAGCGGGCCCGGCAGGTCCGGCTTGGGCACTGCTCACCCCGAGGCCCTGGCTCCGGGCCCTCTGGGCTCCCCTCACAGGGCATTTGGCTGACCACCTGACCACCCCGCAGGCCTCTGCCGGGTGCCAGGCCTGCCACTCCCAGGGCCACCAGGACTCACAGCTGGGACCCCCAGGCCCGGTGGTTCTGAGCACCGGGCTCTGCAAGACCAAGGACCTCCCAGAGAGGCAGTGGGCGCACGCGCACCCAGAGGAAGGAAACGGCCAGGACCGCAGCAGGCAAGACCCAGGCTGACCTCCCGGCTCAGGCCCCCGGCTCCCGGCTCCTTGCCCCCGGGAGCGGCCTGGCTGCTGGGCCCAGGCAGCTCACACTTCGCCTGCTCCCCTGAGCTCCAGCCCCCACTCACTGCTCCTCCCTCCCCGGCCCCTTGGGAGGCCTGGCATCACAGCCCCACCCGTCCCAGACCCACCTCAGCCAGGTCGCCTCCTCGTCCTCCCTTCACCCAGCCCTGCCCTCCTGACCCTTCCCCCAGCTCCGGCTCATGCCGAAGTTCACCCAGATGTCTAACCCAGATCCTCGCTGTGGAACCCGGTCTTTCCTGTTCTGTCCGAGGTGAGGACGGATTGCAGCTGTCACCTCCGCCCCGAGACTCGCCTTCACCATCGCCTTCCCACTCACGGGAGGAGGCGTGTGGGTTGTGTAGAAGGAAGACCCCAGAGGGCCTGAGTTCAAATCCTGGGTCTGCCTCTCGCCGGCTGTGTGACCTTGGACAGAACGCCTTATTCCCTGCACCTCGGTTTTCCTGTCTATAAATTGGAGCCAGCACTGACCCATCTGGGGAAAGGGTGTTGGGAAGGTTGTGGGCACCTGTGGGCCAGGCCCAGTGACTGGCATGATGGGGGCTGCTCAGTGTTCCATGGGCCCTCGGCCTGCGGGGGGGCAGGGCCAGTCACAGCAATGAGAGCCCTGCCCATCAGGATGGGGGAGGGGTGAGAGCAAGGGGAGGGCAGGAGCCCGGTGAGCTCGGGCAGAGAGGGGAGGGGGTGGGCAGGGGGAGAAGGAAGGGCCCAGGGCAGAGGGCACAGCTGGGGCAGAGGGGTGCATGGGCAGAAGCACAGGGGGGCGGGGCTCGCTGGCAGGGCGGGGCTTTGTGGGGGCGGGGCTTTGTGGGGGCGCGGCTGGGGGGAGGGGGGCTGCAGAGGAGGCAGAGGGTCAGGAAGAACTCCACGGGTCACACCAGGAGCAAACCTCTGCCCCCTGAGCCACAGGGCCCTGCTGGGTGGACAGCCATGGGCGGGGGGCGGGGGGGGGGGGCGGTCAGTGCGGGAGGCCTGGGTGCTAAAGCCTGGCCCGTGTTTCTCCCACAGGAAGGGGAGCCGGGTGGCCCGGCGGGAAAGCTCACTCCCTGTGCCCGTCCGCAGGGGGCTGCGAGGCTAGGAGACTGGGGAGCCGGCCCACGCCTTTCCTGTCTCCCAGGCCTCCTCGGTCAGCACATGCACCCCCAGAATGGGCTGCCGCTCAGGGCAGGGGGGCGGGGTGAAGAGCTGAAGCCTCTGAGGTCCCCCACCCCCAGGGAATGAATGGGTGAATGGGCGGCAGTGAGGCGCCCCCACTCTCTCGCTAGTGTCCCCACAGCCTCCCACGGTCCAGGCAGGGCCCAGGCACGTGGGGAAGGGACACACAAACCCAACAAACCCAAGGCAGGAGGCCTCGCTCCCCGAGGCCAGCCAGGAGCCGTGGGCAGCGGAGAGGCGGTGGCGCTGTGTGCGCCGGGCCGCCCTGGGAAAGGCCCCTGGAAGCGCGGGGCTGGGGTCCGGGCCCAGGGCCTGGCGGGCAGTGTGGGCCCGACGCCTGGGGCAGGGCCCCCGAGGATGTGCCCGCAGCCTGGGAGGCTGGGCGGGGGTTGAACTGTGGCCAAGAAATAAGTACAGTCTGGGCACCGGGGCCCGGCCTTCGGCTCTTTCCTCATTCCTGGCCTCGTGGGAGTAGCCGGACCCTGGCGTTCCACCGTGGCCGCCACCTCGGATCTGCTTACCGTCTCACGGGGAACCGGGGCCTCCTGCCAAACCCCTCAGGCCGGCTGGGCCCGCGGGCCTCGGCGACCACCAACGCCCCAGCTGCCTCCTGCTCTCCGACGGGGAGGCTGAGGCCATAGATCAGGGAGGGCCGCCCGGCAGCTCTCGAGCCCCGGGTCAGGACGGGGTCTTTCCCCCTGTCCCCCCTCCGCGCACCGGAGGAGCCGACCCCCTCAGAAGCCCACCTGTGGCGCCTCCCCGGGGGCTGGGGCTGGGGCCAGGCTCCGTGGGTGCCCGGTGGGCAGAGGGCAGACGGGGCTGTTTGATCAGTGGTTCCGCCTGATGCCAGGCTGCTGGGACCGCGGGCAGTGGCCAAACCGGCCCCGCCGCATGCCTCCCGGCCCTCCCCTCGGCAGGAATGCCATTCATCCTCCTGGGCATGGCTACCTCGGGCGAGGCCGGGCCTCCAGGGAGAGGAGGGGAGGCTGGTGGCTGCCCAGAGGCCTCAGCTGCCTTCCCAGGACCAGATTGGGCAGGGGCACCTCAGGGGGCACGGGAGCCAAAACCCACCAGACACAGCTGGATGGACCCCCAGGCCAGCTGGGGTCAGAAGGGAAGGGAGACCTCACAGAGGGAAGCAGATGGGGCCAGGGACACCTGGCTGGGGTCCCCCACCCCCAGGCTCCCCATTCTCCCGAGAAGAGCCCCCACCTGCCCCGAGTCAGCCCAGCTCCGGCCATGGCCCGTCCCGCAGCCTGGCCCCGCTGTCAGGGAGCCTCAGCCCTCCGTCCAGCCCCGCCAGTGGCCCTCGCTGGGTGGGGCAGGCCCAGAGGCACCTGAAGGTGTGACTCCAGGTCCCACCTGGGACCTGGGCCAGATGTGAGGAGGGGGATGGGGTGGGGACATCGGGCAGTGCCAGAGGAGGGGGGCTGGGGCCCAGGGGCAGCGGCTGGCGCCCAGCATGTCTGTGCCCAGGGGTGACGCCACTCCACACTTGCCATCGTCTTTGATCCCAGCTTTATTGGAGCCGCTGCTCCCCTCCAGAAGGTGGACACAGCCCGTCAGAAGCCACCCACTCTCCTGAGTGGGCCCTGCAGGGACACACACCCGGGCCCCCGCCCCTGCCTGGGCCACACTGACCCCTCCCCCGCGGAGGGCCCTGCTGACAGTTGGGGGAGGCCCCGGGACAGTGCGCACGGGCGCCAGGGCCCGAGAGTCTGTTTCAAGCAGAAGGAGGAGCCTGTCTCGGGGGGCAGCAGCCCCCCCCCGTACCCAGTGTAGGTCACAATAATTTAAGACACTATAGACATCTCAACACTATATAACAATATAAGTTAACCAGGTGCCCCGGCAGAGGGCTGTGGACGTGTGGGTCCTGGGGCCTGCGGGGCGGGGGAGGGGGAGGGGGCATTCACGTGGGCCTGGAGGGTCCCAGGACAGCAGCTAAGGGAGTGTCCTGGCATCTCTGGGGGCACGCGGGGTGGACGCCAGGCCCAGAGTGTCACTCACGCCAGGCTAACGCCCAGCCCACGTGGCCGGTCAGCTGCCTGAGGACGCATGTCCACGGGTCGATGAGAAAAGACCCTAAGTTCGGGGCGGGGTGCGTGGGCAGCAGTCACCACACGCCAAGCTTCCCACAGTCACCTCTGCGCCTCCGTCTCCCCGGGAGGTGGGGGCGTTGGCAGAGGGCACGCCCGCTCGAGTCCCCGGTTTCTCGTCTCTCCCCGTCCCCCACATGGATTAGAATGAGCCAACCCCCTCCGGTTCCTGTCTCCCGGGTTTCAGGGTGAGTGGATTTCAAGGGAGGGCCTGCGTGGTGCGGGATAGGGAGCGGGGGGAGGGAGGCTGTCAGGTGGGGCCCTAGCACAGGGTCGCCTGGACCCAAGTTTTCTCCACATCAGGGTCAGGGTGAAAGGCCAGGATGGGCAAGGGCAAACCCTCAAAGGCACCTCTGGGGGTGCAGAGCCCGGTGAGGCAGCGGAGAGGGGTGCAACGGATTTCTCAGGGCGTGGGGGCCGCCTCACGCCAGCCTGGGTGTCTCCAGAGCTTGTCCTCTGGGCCAGGAGCCATGGGCTGTGGGTCAGGACACCAAGCCACGGCAGGAACCCCACTCAGGTCCTGGGGCCTCTGGCAGGTGGTCCATGCTGGGCCTCAGTGTCCCCGGCTGTCCAGTGAGGCAAACACCCTAAAGACTCCCAGCCCCCCACACCCCGCTCAGCGCTGGCCTGGGGTCCCGCTGGCTTCGGGGTGCGAGGGACTCTGTAAACTGGCGAGGGCTGGGGGGCCACGGCCCCGGGGAGGGGGACAGCACGCCTTGAACCTGACCTGGGGGACAGCTTGATCGGTTTGATGGGGTTTTCTAAAATCTTTCTAAGAGAAGGGCACGAGGTCCCTGTGCAGGGCTGCCCTCAGGGCCCTCTGGGGCCATGCTGGTCACCAAGCCGCTGCCCGCTCACCTGGGGACCACACGCACAGCCCCCTGTCTCAGGGCAGAGCCAGGCGGGGCCTCGGACGTGAACGGGGGCTGAGGGGGTGCGCTAACACAGGGTGCGGAGTTAGGACCGGCGGGCCTGCGTGCTAAGAGTCCTCTTCTGACACTAAGAAAACATAAATAATCTGTCCCCATCTGCCCAGCCCCCTCCAGGGTCCCGCAGCTGACGTGGCCGAGGACAGTCCCACGTGGGGCCGGCCGACGTGGCCTGTCCGTGTTCACCCACCAGGCAGGGGCGGGGGACACTCCTGTCGTCTCCTTGCTTTCCGGGGACACGTGTGTCCTTGAGCCTCACTTTCCCGGAGAGAAGAAAAGGACTCACTGGGCCCGTCAAGGCCGCGCTGGGCCGCAGGAAGTGACGGAACGGCAGGAAGGAGCCGCGGGCCGGGAAGAGGGTGCTGGGCCCAGGGGGTTCCCCTGCGTCTGGAGCCCCACCGTCTGCAGCCACCGCTGCCCCGCCGGCCGCGCGGAGCCGGGAAGGCGGGAGCGTGTGCACAGTGGCGGGTGGCCGCGTGGCCGGCGGCCGCGGGGCCGCTCACTTGCAGGTGAAGACCTCGGTGCGCTCGCTGCACGTGTTGCACTTGACGAAGCAGCACCAGTGGAACTTGCAGTTGCACTGCCAGACGCGGGTGTACTGGTGCGTGTTGTAGCCGCGGCCGCAGCACATGGTGTCGCAGCCGTCGGCGCCGGGCGAGGTGCGGTTGCACAGGCGGCCCTGCGTGCCCACGCTGCCCGTGGCCGCGTCCTCCTCGCAGTAGTTGGGCGACTTCTCGATGTACACCAGGTCCGTCTCCATGGGCTTCTGGTAGCTGCGCAGCTGCTTGATGCGCAGGAAGGTGGGCTGCCGCAGGCGGCTGGCGCGCACCACCTCCACCTGCACGGCCGCGTTGTACTTCTCCTTGAGCAGGTGGCCCACCTCGCGGAACTTGGGCAGCGTCGTCCAGCAGGTCTTGGTGGTGCAGGAGCCCGACACGCCGTGACACTTGCACTCCAGCTTCATGCGCTCCTCCAGGACCTGCGGGGCCAGGAGCAGGGCTGAGCGGCCGGAGCACCCCTCCACCCAGAGCTCCCCTCCACCCGGAGCTCCCCTCCACCCGGAGCATCCCTCCACCCACAGCACCCCTCCACCCACAGCACCCCTCCACCAGGAGCACCCCTCCACCCACAGCACCCCTCCACCAGGAGCACCCCTCCACCCATAGCACCCCTCCACCCAGAGCTCCCCTCCGCCCGGAGCACCCCTCCACCCACAGCACCCCTCCACCAGGAGCACCCCTCCACCCAGAGCACCCCTCCACCGGAGCACCCCTCCACCAGGAGCACCCCTCCACCAGGAACACCCCTCCACCCGGAGCTCCCCTCCACCCAGAGCTCCCCTCCACCCACAGCACCCCTCCACCCGGAGCACCCCTCCACCAGGAGCACCCGTCCACCTGGAGTACCCCTCCACCAGGAGCACCCCTCCACCCACAGCACCCCTCCACCCGGAGCACCCCTCCACCCGGAGCACCCCTCCACCAGGAGCACCCCTCCACCCAGAGCTCCCCTCCACCCGGAGCACCCCTCCACCCAGGCCCTCAGCCTCCAGCCCTAGCGGAGCCAGCTCCCCCACACTCCCTGCTGTGTCACCCGAGTCAGTGTCTCCTCCCTGAGCCCTCACCCGCTAAAGGGGCTCTGACCACAGGTCCCCACCGAGCAGGCCTGCGAGGGGCCGCGAGAGAATCAGAACTCGGCAGAGCTGGGCACACATTTATCCAAAGTGCTTCGCAAGTTCCCCAACAGCCCTCAGGGAGCTGGGGCCAGTGGCTGCGGGGAAACAGGCCTGGCGTGCTGGTGGGGCGTGTGCAGGTCACGGGCAGCGGGGGTGAAGCCGGGCTCGGGGCGGGCGCCTCACAGTGGCACCAGGCCCAGCGACAGCGGGAGCTTCATCGGCGGGGATCCCCGCCCGTCTCCCCTCCCTGCCCTCCTGCGGGGTCGGGCCTGGCGTGCGGTCGGGCCTGTGCCCTGGAAGCCCGTGTGCATGTGCGTGTGGGGCTCTCCGCGCCCCGTTTGCTGAAGGCGGGGGCGGGGGGAGGGGTGCGCAGGTCAGTGAGGCGGGGGCTGCCGTCTGCTGGGAAGCCTCCCCGACCCACGTGTGGTTCCTCCTCGGCTGTGAGCGGGCGTGAGGGGTGCAGCCGTGTGCTCTCCTGGGGCCTCCCTCCCTCCCTGGCGGAGGCCAGTTCCCAGCGCCAGCCCTGACCCCAGGTACTCATTTACCCGGATCGAAGGGGCCTGCCAGCCGCGCTGATTAAAGATGAGAATCATTAGCTCGGCCCATGGCTGCGGAGGGGCCATTTGTCAGCTGTCCCCACCCGGCCTCACTTCCGCCACCAGCCCAGAAGGAAGCTGCTACCCTGTGCCCCTGCCACAACCCAGCCCAGGCCCAGGACCCCAGCCCTCGCTCAGAACCCCAGCCCTCACCCAGGACCCCAGCCCAGGCCCAGGACCCCAGCCCTGACCCAGGACCCCAGCCCTCGCCCAGGACCCCAGCCCTCGCTCAGAACCCCAGCCCTGACCCAGGACCCCAGCCCTGACCCAGGACCCCAGCCCTCGCCCAGGACCCCAGCCCTCACTCAGAACCCCAGCCCTGACCCAGGACCCCAGCCCTGGCCCAGGACCCCAGCCCTGACCCAGGACCCCAGCCCTCGCCCAGGACCCCAGCCCTCGCCCAGGACCCCAGCCCTGGCCCAGGACCCCAGCCCTCGCCCAGAACCCCAGCCCTGACCCAGAACCCTAGCCCTCGCCCAGGACCCCAGCCCTCGCCCAGAACCCCAGCCCTGACCCAGGACCCCAGTCCTCGCCCAGAACCCCAGCCCTCGCCCAGAACCCCAGCCCTGACCCAGGACTCCAGCCCTTGCTCAGAACCCCAGCCCTCGCTCAGAACCCCAGCCCTGACCCAGGACCCCAGCCTTCGCCTAGGACCCCAGCCCTCGCCTAGGACCCCAGCCCTCACCCAGGATCCTAGCCCTGGCCCAGGGACGAGGCCCACGGGGAATGCAAAGGGGCGAGAGGGACAGCCCACAGAGCCGGCCACTGCCCCAATCTCTCATCCTGCCCTGGCAGCCTGGGGCCTAGACCTCAGTGAGGACGTCGGTCCAGGGCTCATGGTCCAGTGTGGGAAACAGAAGGAAACTGACACTCAAAAGTTCAAAGTGCAGGGCTATGGGAGCCTCCGCCTGCCCAGGGCCAGGGTGCCAGCAGGGGGGCTTCCTGGAGGAGGCAGTACGTGCGCTGCATGTCTATGGAGATCGTTAGGTGCAGAGGTGTGCGCGAGGGGGTGCAGCACCAGCTGTCCGCATGACTGCAGAGGGAATATTTGGCCCAAATGAGCATCATGTGTGTGCGGAGGCCGTGAGGCTGGCGGCCTGGAGTTTGGGGGTGGGGCCCTCTGCTCCTGTGTGGAGGACATCCTGGGGCATATTCAGATGTGGAACTGCAGGACCATGGGGTGTCGGGGTCCAGGGCACAGGCCAGAAGGCTGGTCTGAGGGTCTGGGTCAAGGGCAGGACCCTGGTGGGATCCCTTTCCCAGGGGAAAGCACCCCTGGCCTCCTCTCGGCCCCCTGCCCCTCCCACCTGTGTCTCCTCCTCCTGCCCCCTCCTCACCCTCCCCAGGGTCATCTTTGCTCTCCCCTCTCCTCAGAGCCCCTTCTTCCATCACTGGCCCTTCAAGGCCTGGATGCTTCCCCTCCCCTGGCCACTGCCCACTGTGTCTGCCCCTCCGCCAGGAGCTGCCCACACCCCTCGTCTGGCACCGTCCACCCCAGGCTGCTCCTCAGGGATTCCTCCTCAGTCGTCGTGATGGCCGGAGACCTGGCAGGGCTGCCCACACCGGAGGCTGTGCCAGCCGGTGGGCCCAGCTTAACTGCCATCTGCGTGTCCAGTTTGGCTGAACAGCTGCCCCCCTCTCTGTGCCACCTGCCCAAACCCCTTCCCTCAGTCCCATCTTCCTGTCAGCATCAAGGCCACAAGCCCCCCCCCCCCTTCCCGTCCAGGGACCCTGTGTGGCGGGACCAGTGGCTGCCCGCCGATGGAGCCGATTGGCGGCTGTTTGCAGAGCGAGGGGCCGCATCCTCGCTTGGCTGGGTCCCCCGCGCCCGAGCCTCTCCTGGGAAGTGATCACAGGAGTGAAGAATGTGCCGCTTCCGGCTCCAGTGCCCTCGAGATAAGGGCGACAGCGGAGGTGGCGCCAGCCCCGCTGCCCCTGAGACCACCTGGGCGGCTGCGGGGCGACCGCTCTCCCCGGGGAGCCGGGACTGAGTGGGGCCTCCCCCAGCCTCGGTGCCCCCACCGCCAGGTGGTCTGGAGGTGGCAAGGGCTCCAGGAAAGAGCTGACTTGGGGTTCTTTCTGGAATAAGGGGTGCCCCCACTCTGGGAACAGATTTCAGGAACGGCCGGGTTAGGGGAATCACAGGTGGGTGCACTGCGTCCCGAGGGAGCCTGGAGCCTGGAGCCCTGAAGAAGAGGTGGGAGCAGGTCCCCCCGCTCAGCCTGTCTGCCCCCGGCCCACCAGGGATGTGGGGGACCACGTGCCAGCCGAGGGGGGCTGCAGAGTGTCCCCCTCAAACACACCCCCACTAGGACCTCAGATGGTGATCTTATTTGGAAACTGGGACTTCGCAGGTGTAACTGGGTCATTCTGGACCAGGGTCGCCCTAAGTCTGAGGACACGTCCTAACAAGAGACAGAAGAGGAGACACGGGGGCGGGTACGTGCATCCTGCCTAATGCCTTTCACCACCTGTCAGTCTCTGAGCACCCCCAAGTCCCGCGCCGGGTGAGCCCTGGGGTTCACACTGGCCTCTGAGCGGAATCAGACACGACCCTGGCCCTCAAGCTGCTCGGCCCCACTCTCCCTCAAGGGTCTGCGATGGCACCCGCTCCCCAGGGGCCAAAATCCAGCCCGGCTGTCAGTCCTTCACCCCAGGCCTGCTCAGCCTGCCCATCTCCTCAGCCGCCCAAACCCCTCGGCTGCACTGCACGCGTGACCTGTGCCTGTGCTGGTCCCTCCGCGGGCTCCCTCCCCCACTCCTCCGCTGCTCACTCAGCCACTCCCCGGGGAGTAGCGACCGGGGCGCGGGCCTCGGGGCCACGGGCAGCTCCTTGGGGCCCCACTGCTCTCCCTGTAACAGTGAGGCCTTCCTCCCAGGGGTGTGGGAAGGCCCGCTCCGGACCCAGCCACTGCAGAGGCTCAGGGGAGGTGCTCCATTGCGGGCTCAGCTATGCCTCCCCCCCCCCTCCCCCCCACCCCCACCCCCCGCTCCCAAAGCCTGCGGGTAAGCGGATCTCGCCTCCTCGGCCCCCTGGGCACCGATCTCGATCTGCCTGTGCATAGAGCAGCGATTTTCAAGCGGCGAATCGCGAGAAGGTTTAAAACGTGCAATTTCGGACTCGCCAGCGGCTCGGACCTCTCTTCCCTCAGGCTGTCAAGCAAAAAGCTGACAGCAGCCAACACCAGAGCCGTCCGGTGTGAATGAGTCAAGGTTCCACCCATTTGAAATGTTCGGACGTTTCAGCGCGCCGGGGAAGTCCTGGAACTCGCTTCTGTGCCGCGAGCTGACAAAGGTCGACGATCTCTGGCCTAGAGAACGTGCCTGCACACTGTCTGGGGGCAACCTGTCACTCATTCCTTCATGCACTGGTTCATTTGACCAAAATTTAAGAACCTCAACAGAAAAAAGCCAAACCCTTGGCCTGGCGTTCAAGGCCTGCTCTGGGCCCGCCCTGCTTGCCCGCCCTTCCTGCTCCCGCCAGCCTGAGTCCTCTGCAGCCTTGCACCCCCGCCCCCCACCCAGTGCCACCTCCTTCTGCCTCTGTCTCTTAGCTCTGGTATGTCCTTCAGGCTCCACAGGGACATCGCTGCCTCCAGGAAGCTTCTGCTCACCGCCCGCTGGTCCCCAGGCTCCCGCTGGCCCTGGGTGTGGCCTCTGCTCCCCTCACGTGCACCCTGTAGGTGCGGGGGCAGCTCCCTGGCTAGGGTCACGTCTTACTCCTCCCTGTCCCCTGTGTCCAACCTAGCCCTGGCACAGAGGAGGGCAAGGAGCGTTCGTTGAGTGAATGAGTGAGCGGCCAGTGGCCTCCCCGGTGGTCCCTGGGGGCAATTTCCACTCCTCCTTGCCGGGGAAAGGCAAGTCTGCCTGTGCCTGCAGCGCCCCTCGGACCTGGCGCCCTGGGTGCGGCCGGGGCTGGGAATCAGACCCACAGAGGCGTTCTGCTCCACTGCCTGCCCTATCTCTGGCCATCTTGCCGCCACGGTGGCCGCTCCTCCCGGCCCAATATCTGGGGCCCGCATCTCCCCGAGGCAGGACTGGGCCCGCGCTGACCTCTTCCCCAGTGTGTCCCTCCTGAATGTCCTCCATTATCTCCCCGCTACCTGCATCCACCCCGTGCACCAGCCCCCGCCCCCGCAGGCCCGCCCACCCTCCCCAGGCCGCTCCTCCCTGGGGGAACATCCCTTCCTTAGGTCTCTCAGGGCAAACTGAGCCAAAGGCCGCCTCCTCTGAGAAGCCTTTCCTGGTATCCGGTATGCCGGCATGACCCCCCTGGGACCAGTGCGGGGACATGGGACTGTCACCTGGGGGCCTGCCCCCACCCGGGGTCCCATCCTGCGTGGAAACAGGGTCCCTGTCTCATCCTTCTCCCAGGGCTCCCTGCGAGAAGGAGGTGCAGGCACATCCCTTCCTCACTCCCAGCCTCAGTTTTCACACCTCGGGAATGGGAACAGCGAGGTGTGTCTCTGAGCTGCTGGGAGGATCACGGGTGACTGTTCTGCCCAGCACCGCCCACACCGCACGGCCAGGGTCCAGGCTCCCAGCTCCCACCTCCAGGAGGGGCGCCCAAAGCTCAGGGAGGTCAAGACCCCGTGACCTAGTGGCCACGCCCGCCCCTCTCAGCGCCCCGCCCCTCTCATCACCCCTCCCTCCATGTCCCGCCCCTCTCATAGGCCCTCCCCTCCCACGCCCCGCCCCTCTCATCACTCCTCCCCACGCCCCGCCCCTCTCATCGCCCCGCCCCTCGCGCCCTACCTTCCTGCCCGCCTCGTTGTTGTGCAGGTTCATGAGGCGCCGCGCGTTCTTCTTGATCTCACGCGCGTCCACGAAGCGCCGGGAGAAGTCGATGCCGTAGCGCACGTCGGCCGAGCAGCCGCCCCACTTCCAGCCCTCGGCCTGGTTGTAGTAGCCCTGCTTCTCGCGGTCGCAGCCGCAGTTGCTCAGGTTGCCCTGGCTGCAGGCGGCCGTGACCGCGTGCGCCACGCCGGCCGCGGTGATGGCGTAGGTGAAGGCGGCCTCACGGCTCCCTGCGGGGCGGAGACACGGTGAGGGCGGGGGGGGCTCCGGGACCCGGGCCGCCCAGCGCGCCCCCTCGGAGCCCCGGCTCTGCGGGGCGGAGGGCACGGCCCGGGCTGCCTGGTGCGCAGCGAGCCCGCCCCCCTTCGCTGCCTGTCCCGAGGGCCCGGCTGGCGGGGCGCAGTGTCCCCAACGTGGGAGGTGCCTGTGACAGGTGTGGGGCCCGGCCTCCCTCCCCGCCCCCCCCGACTGCCCGCGCTGCTCCTCGGGGACCAGTCACGGCTGCAGGCCTCGTCGGCTCCCCGTGGGCTCCCCAGCAGAACCCACGCAGCCCCGAGCCACGCGGCCTCTGTCCCCGCCTCCCTCTCTGACCACTGAGCCACCCCGCCACCAGGCCCAGGCCTCCTACGTCCCCTTCTCCTACACCCCGGGGGCCTCCCTGCCTCCCTCACCCCACCCCCTCCGTGCGGGCCCAGGGTGCAGGCCTGGCACCTCCGCAGCTCCCCTCTGCCCGAGCTGGGCAGGGCCGGCCACAGCCCAAACCCGAAGCCTGTGCCCACCCTCCAAACCCAGTGCCCACCTCCACGGCCTCCGTCCATCAGAACGATGCCCCTTCCAGGGCTGCTCACATGCCCTGGGGGTTACCTGGTCTTTTTGGTGGAATTCCCTCTCCTTCCTGCCCAAATCCTACCCATTCCCATGCCTCCTCCCGGCAGCCCTCCACGGCACCGCGAGTGAGCCCTGGCCGCAGGGACTTCCTGGCTACAGCGGGGTCCGAGGCCCCTGAGAGGAACGGGTCCAGCTCTAGTTCTTTATTTTCCACGGCCCCTGGGCAGGCCCTGTGCACCCACCATCCCGGCCGTCTCTCGGCCCCCTGTCCCCGTGCCCGTGACCGGAGGCTCCCTGTGGGCCCCAGCCCGGCACTGCGGCACAGGGCTCAGTGGTGCTGCCGGGACCAAAGCCCCCTCTGATGGACGAGCCGGAATCCCACTGCCTGGCGAAGCGGTAACGGGGCGGGCCGGCTTCTGTCCCGGGAGGGACAGCTGGGAACCCGCGACCCTGGCCGTCCACAAGCCCGTACCTGTGTCCCTGACTGCCACCAGGCCCTCTGCTGGGGGCTGGGGTGACCCTCCAGATTGAAGGAGGGTTAAGGCTCAAGTCAGGTTCATTCCATAAACATGAATGAGCACTGACCGTACGCCCAGCCTGTGCTTGGTGCTCACTGTGCTCCGGGGTCCACCTCCTCACCCACTAACCGCCTGGGGGCTCACTTAGATGGGGTCCCCGTTCTCCTGGGGGGCTCACCCTTGAAGTCCTTGTTCCCTGGGGGCGTTTTGCTCCCAGCCGGGTCAGAGCACGGCCACCCGGGGACCAGCTGACCACAGGGGCTCCGCACCCCGGCTCCATAACCAACCGTCCTTCAGCACAGGGCGTGGCCCTGAGGAGCCCCAGTTCCTGTGCCATCAAGGCCGGCTGACCAGGGCTCCCAGACACAGGGACGGGGGAACATGGGAGCCTACCTCCCGGCTCTAAATTAGGCCACTACGCTCGGAAGGGAAGTCCGCTGGGTGTGAAGTGGATATTGAACCCCTTGCTTGTGTTGCCCAAGCCCAGCAGAGCCTGCTGACAAGCGGCCACAGGACACACGGGCAGGAGTGATCAGCCAGGTGGAGGTCCCAGGGAAGGAGGTGACTATGGGACTCTGCAAGCAGGGGCCACGGGGAGGCATGGAACCTCAAAGGATGCCTGACCTGCCTTGGTGGAGGTGGAGTCTGGGGAGGCTTCCTGGAGGGGGTGACATCTTAAAGTTTAACAAGAAGCAGGTGTTAACTCCCTGTGAGTGCGTGTGGTATCCGAGTGTTTGTATACGTGTCTAGTGTGTGCACGCACGGTGTGTGGGGTGTGTGCACACTCCTGGCCATGGCAGGAGAAAAGGCGCAGAGGTGTGGCGGTTTGGTGCTGCAGGCTGCAGAAGTATGAGGTCCAGAGTAACAAGGAGAGAGGTGGTTGAGGTCTGGGGGAGCTGCTTGTGGTAGGCCAGAGACTCCTGTGAAGCAGGCGGCACTGTGCGGGCTGGGGTCGGACGCGGTGGCACTCAGAATCCAGAGCGCTCTGGTGAGAGAGGGCAGCAGAGCCATTGCTATCACTCAGCAGCTGTCCCGCATCCCAGCATCCCTCTAAGACAGTGGTTCTCAACCTTGGCTGCACATTAGAATCACCTGGGAATCTTTTTAAAATCCCGATTTCTGGGCCTCATCCTCCGGAAATTCTGTGTCTTTGTTACGGGGTGTCTGTTACGGGGTGGGACCACAACATTAGTAACAAAGAAACAATTTCCGGAGGATGAGGCCCAGAAATCAGGATTTTTAAAAATATATTTTATTGATTTTTTACAGAGAGGAAGGGAGAGGGATAGAGAGTTAGAAACATCGATGAGAGAGAAACATCGATCAGCTGCCTCCTGCACACTCCCCACTGGGGATGTGCCCGCAACCAAGGTACATGACCTTGACCGGAATTGAACCTGGGACCCTTCGGTCCACAGGCCGACGCTCTATCCACTGAACCAAACCGGCCACGGCGGAAATCAGGATTTTAAAAAGATTCCCAGGTGATTCTAATGTGCAGCCAAGGTTGAGAACCACTGTTCTAAGCCTTCACATACGGGGCAGCTCTCATTACTGTCCCCATCTCACAGAGGAGCGCACAGGCTGTGAAACGGTTAGGGGCTGAAGCAGGATCTGAATGCAGGCGGTGGAATCAAAGCCCAGAGAAGCAGAGGGAGGGCCTGGGGGCCTGGGGCGCGGGTCACTGGAGGCCCTCCTGTCCCCGGCGTGGCCCCTTTGCAGCCAAGGGACCTGAGCAGGAGGAGACAGAACAGCAGGTGCGGCCATGAGGGGAGGGGATGCTACGTTTGGACAGCCTGGATCTTGGGGCGGGGGCGGGGGAGAGGGAATAGCAGCTAGCTAGCAGATGCACGCTGGGTGGGGGTTCGGGGGAGCTCAGGGAGACCCAACCGGCTTCAGAGGGGGCATGACACAAGCTAGGCACCAGTGAAGGGGGGGAGGGCAGAGAAATCGCAGACAATTGTGCAATCCTGCCAAGAGGCCGGGCCGGGGGAGTGGAAGTCCTGCCCCAGCGAGGAGGCGTGGGCCCTGCCTGACCCTCCTCTTCTCTCCCCCTCCCCTCCCCGCTGCCCCCAGGAGCCCATGGGGACTCCTCCTAAGCCCCCGGCAGGCGGCAGGCCGGAGGCCAGGACTGTGCCTGCGGAGGGCGTGTCGGGATCGCCCGGATCCTTCGCTCAGTGCCTGCTCCCCCCGGCCAAGCCCAGACCCGGCTCAGACTCGGTTACTCATCACTTACTCACCGGGCCGCCACTCCCGATAATTTCTTTTTTATTTGGTTTTAATGAGCCAAACCCTCTTGTCTCACCATGGAGACGGGGGGGGGGGGGGGGGGCACGGAGGGAGTCCTCGTTAGGGGAGAACCCAGGAGGCTGGCCCTAGGTCCTGGTTCCCGTGCGCCCGCACTCTGTACACTCATCCAGTTTAATTCTCACGACAGCCCCGTACAGACCTGGACACAGGCTCGGGGTCTTCAGAGCTCGCCCAGGTCAGCGTGCCCAGCGTGGAGCTGGGAGAGGGTCCCTCCCCAAAACACGCGGGGCCGCCCGGCCAGTCCCCAGGTTGCTGTCTGCATGGCTTCCCCAGGGGGAGCGGGCACGAGGGCTTAGGAAGCCCCTCGGACCCTGGGCCTTCCTCAGCAGCTGTCTGGCTCCCTAGCCTCTGAGACGGCCTCAAGCCCCAAAGGCCTGACCCCACCGGACCCCGCTCACCACTACCTGCAGCCCAGCTTGGCCACATGGACACATGGCCGCCAGGGTGCACCCCTCTTGTCCAGTAGACCATCCAGCTGGGCCCTGCCACGGGCTGGTGCACGCCGGCCCTCTCCCTGCCTGGGGTGCCTGCCACTGCCCACAGGCTCTCCAGGCTCTGCACACCGCTGGGCCAGCCCCTGCTCCTGGCAGCCCCGCTGGAAGGAGGTGCCCCCTCTGGGCTTTAGCCAGGTGGCCCTGGGGCTCAGGGTGGTGGGCAGGGTTCACGTCTGACTCTTTAGTGCACCCCCAACTCAATGTTGTTTCCTGTACCCCAAACACAAGCAGGGCTGGGCTGGGGGCCTACACTCACCACCTCCTTCTATCCCCACGACAGCCCATGAGACAGACCCTCCTGATGAGCCCACGTCACAGGGGAACACTGAGGCTGGAGGCCGGAACGGTCTGCTCCAGGCGGCAGTGGCGGCGGCAGGTGCCACAGGTGTGTCTGGTGATGGGGTGGGGAGTTGGCGGAAGGCGGCATGGTGTTCTGTTTGGTGCCAGCAGCTGTCCTGGGGGTGCACGTTGGTCTCAGGAGGCCTCGGGGTTCCTTTGGTATCAGAGCCCACCCAGCACATCTGCGTGTGGCCCTGCGGAGGTCACACACCCTCCCTGAGCCTGTGTCCCCATCGGCCAGGTAGGGCTGGAGATCCTCACCCAGCCCACAGCTCCGGGGCAGCTCTGAGGACAAACAGGACAAGTGGGCACCCCTCACCCTCACCAAGTGGGAAGCAGGGCAGGGCGGACCGGCGATGACCAGGCACCACGCTGGGCCCCCGGGACAGGCCCGGTGCCGTCTGTGCTCAGCCGAGCCTCCTCCTGAGGCTGACCAGCCAGCCCCGGCCGCCCCTCCACACATCGGAACAGCAGAACAGCAGAGCCCTCAGGGACCACAGCCTTGTGGGTAAACCGAGGCCACCGGGCCACTCGAGGACCATCCCGCTCCGCCCTCTCTTTCCTGTGGGTCATTCAAAATCAGCCCTCGCTGCCCCGATGGGCTCCAGGCCCAGAGGGAAGAGACCTGGCCCCGCCCTGCCCCCGCCCTCCGTGATGCCAGCTGGACCCGCTCCCGGGAAGAGGGGCCTAGCCTTCCCGTCATCCCCTCACCCTGGTTCCAGGAGGACGCGGGGACCAGGC